CAGGAACTAAGGGAAAGGCTACGCGCCGCATGGACGGTAGCCGGGGCTAACGTACGTTACGCCAAAGAAAGGTCTAAGCTGACCTACGACGCGAACGCGAAAATAGAAGAATACCGCATCGGAGATAGAGTCCTACTCCACAACGAAGCCGTACGGCGCGGGCGTTCAGCTAAATTGACCCCGAAGTGGATAGGCCCGTACGAAGTAATCGCGAGAAATTCGGCGGTTAACTACACTATAAAGATGGGTCGGAAGACCATCCTGGTTCACGCAAACCGCCTAAAAAACTTCAATGAGCACTAAGAAGGAAGCGGGATGGCCACAGCCGGAGAACGAACGGAAATATTCCAGGAATACGTCATTCAAGAATAAGGGGCACACAGTATTTATTTCGAAGTCGCCCTACATCTCTCGCCCGCATATCGGGCACTCCTCTCCGAATAGCCGGATCAATCCCAGGAAGTCCGGGGGATCTTCGTCGCTCGCGAAGACCCCAAGTCCCCAAATCGCCTCCACCGTCCGCCGGCACATGAATCTCCGGCGGCGGAGCTCCCTGAGCACCCGGACCCCGAATCTCTCGGCCGGGCTACGCCGGTCCACTCTCGTCGGGATGATTAGTTGTTCCTGAGGGGTAAAATGCACATCGTGAGAAAAAATGCAAGAATAAGGGGCACACAGTATTTATTTCGAAGTCGCCGTACATCTCTCGCCCGAGAGAGAGAGAGAGAGAGAGAGAGAGAGAGAGAGAGAGAGAGAGAGAGAGAGAGAGAGAGAGAGAGTTATATTCGGGTGCCGATTAATATTAGATATCGTTAACCGACAAATTATAATTCGTTTTCTGTAAAATCATTGTGAGATTTCCAAACCCTAAGTTTGGTTAAATTTAGTGGCGAGCCCACGCCGTCTATCTTTTGCATAATCTTATGTTCCTCTTTCGAATTAAAATACGTTAAACCGAATTCTTTTCTTGGGTTTTTGCTAAACTTCCGTTGACTTTGCTGAAGTGTAATTCCGAATCTAATATCCTATTTTTGTATACGATATCTTCCGTTCTTATTTCTGTAATTTCTTGATGGTGTGCCGTGTCTAATTGTCGTTGCCGAACCTTACTGTAATTTCATCGTTATATTCTCGGTGGAACTTTTGTGAATTTTGCGTGTCGCACATGTCCTTCCGACGTTGCGTGCGAGCCGCCCTCCGAGGCGACCTTGCTTGTTGACGTTCCTCGACGTCGCGCCTTCGGCCGATTTCGAAATTGGACTACCCGTACCGAGAACGTCTTTCCGCTGCAACGATAATGAAATACTACTCATTATAATATTCTATCTTTTTCTGACTAGAATATCTTTTCTGTGCCATATCTTGTATTAATTTATTGTGATATTTCTATTTATGGTGCTACTTTTCGTGTCCGCGATTTTCGAACTGGTGTTAGCTAACCCGCGTATAGCATCCTTTGTCGGGTTCCTTTGTAGTTATAATTTCTTTTGCGTGACTCTTTCTTATTACGGTTGTGGACCGCGGTTATAATTTCGCGAATGCGAGAATTGGAACCGCGCAGATCGTTTCGCTGCCATTCCTTGTGTTCCGATTTTTGTTGTTATCGCTATTTGTGTATATAATTTCCAAACGAATTTGTTAGTTTATTCCGAATAATTCGTTTCTTTCAACCGTATTATTTTCCGTGGATATCGTCTTGTAGAAATATCGAGTCCGCGTGCCCTCGCGTGCGCGCTCAGGCGTAGCGCCTTTGCTGCCGAGATTTTCCGATAAGCAGGCTGCGTCTATAGTCTTCTACATTATATTTAGTGATCCTTATTCTCTTTTGCATTGTATAGCTTCCGATTTTAGATACCGATCACTGTGAATTAATTTTATGATTTTTGTAAACCTATGCTTGGCTTTCACTCACACCCTCAGTAATGCCTGAGTTAATGTTTTTGTAATTGTGGGTATTGCGTCTATTGATTATTTGGACTTTTGTTCTGCTTGATACAGCTCTGGTGCGTTAACTAATTAATTTGGATTATTTTCTTATAGTTTTTCGTATCACTTTCCTATAAGTCCTTGGCTGAATTCTTTCCTTCCTTACCTCTTGAACGCCGCGACGCTTCCGACGAGCTAGCCTCCGAAGCGGCGTACCGTAGACGTGTAGTGGTCTAATTTTGTACTATCTTTCGAGTTCCGGGTAACCTTAAGTTTAATTACGTTTTCTAGTCTTTTCTTGGCCGTGGTGCCCTTAGGTTAGTTACGTTTTGAGATACCCTTTTCTTGGCCCTGGTGCCCCTATCTGTTGTGTTGGCCGTGTGGCCGTTAGGGTTAGTTTGCCTGGTGGTAACTTTAGATTTAGTTCGCCTGGTGGCTGATTTAGGTTTAGTTTGCCTGGTGGCAATTGGTTATCTCGGATTTTTGTGTCGATAACGAGCCTAGAGTTCGTGGTGCTCCTTAGAGGGTGCCTGGCGCCCAACCCACATTTTTGAGTTTGCCGAGACCACTCACGCTCCCGATTTCCGTTGTGTAGAACTCCGTTTTGTCGATGACTGAGATAACCGTCGCAGTTCATAAGGAATTTGTCATACTAATCCTTTATTAAGTCTTTACATAAAAGATAAACCTGAAGCTCCTCGAGACTTGCAGTACCCACGAGGTTTCAGGTACAGAATTGGAAGACTCAGGTATGCAGTAACAGCCGATAAAATTTTGCAATCCAATCCGTCTACATGAACTTTTGGTTCTGTACCACCAGTCAACGTACAAGGTTTTTAATACCCTCCAGTTTATTTACCCTATTCTGCAATAAAATAAGCATTAGAGACAGTTCCCACTTTCGATGGAACTAATATGCCGGTAGGTACTTTTATTCCGTCCTGCGTATATGCCAAGGAGCTGATCTCTCCAACAGTCATTACGCTTTTCGTCAGATTACTACATGACAAACTTCTAGGCGAAGCTAAATCGCTCCTCATAAATGAAGGAATCAGAAACTTTGATGGATTTATCAAAGAATTAGAGAAATTCTACTCAGGTTTAGCTTCAGTGGGCAAATTTTAAGGTGTAATGGGGACTATGTATCAAAAAGAAGATGAAACTCTGGCATCATACATCTGCCCATTTTTCACTTGCCTAGAAAACTTATCAGAAGCCCTTCGTAAAAGAACTAAAGGAGAAGGAGGCATAGTCGACAAGGTCAGACTTAACAAAGACTTGGTTAGAGATTGGGTATTATGTTTTACTCGAGTATTAAAACCAAAAATAGTTTCTAGAATGGACTCTGTTAAATTATTAAACAACCTTTCGGACACTTTAGAAGCCGCAGTGATCGCAAATCAGGAAAACCAATTCTATACATCCTTAAAGACTGAGATCCAGAATGTGACATCGACTAATAAAACAATCAAGGCTAAAACCCCTAACATACACTCAGTTCAAACAAGTGGCATAGAATGATGATTTTGTAAGAAGAGTGGACATGCAGTCGAGAACTGTTTTAAACAAGCTGTGCCAAGCGTCTACAAGCCGATGAAGACAAACAATAGTATATTACGATACAAGTGCGCAAAGTAGGTGATTCCCGCAAGAGTCGGGTCGGTTGTCGCCCGAGCGTAGCGAGGGTGACAAAAGAGACGAGTGCGGGAGACGCCTATGCGCACGTGTATCGTATACTATTTTTCCTAACAAGCTGCGTAAAATTCGATTTTGCACACGCGTTTGACAGTGCGGGAATGGGGCACTTTGCGCACGCAAACCCGTGCGCAACATTCGATTTTGCGCACGCTGTTAGGAAAAATCCTAATTCAAGAAATGCATACGTTTCAAATTCTAATCCCGGACCGGTAGTTTGTCGTTATTGTAAAAATATTGGTCATACAATTGAAGAATGTCGTAAAAGAGTCTATAATAATTCAGTTAAGAAAGGAAATACGGCCTTTCGAAAGCAATTCGAAAAAAGACTCCAAAGTAGAACCATGCAAATTGCTTCCTCATTATTTTACTCGATTATTTCTATCACAGTGATGCAAAGTAGAATCTTACACTTTGCTTCTTGATTCTTTTCCGTCGTTCATAAAGCCTCTATGAGGAAGTTCTTTGATTAATTTTGGCTTCCTCATAGAGGAAGCTTTGCAAGAGTTCACGAGTTATGTACTGTAACAAAAATGTTACAATGAACTCCTCCCTGCCACCTAGCTCGAGGTCACCACTGGCCCCGAGCACGAGTATTGCGTAGGGTATTGGGAATTACTGTTTATTGCGTTTATTTAGTGTTTTGAGTCTGTTGTATTTAGAGTTAAGATCCCCTCCCTCCACCCTTCCCTCCCTGTCATCATTCCCCGTAGGGCACTGGCTCCAGGACCATCATCGAGGACCGCTACCGTGGACCATCTACGAGGACACATCATCCCTGGATGGACCGAGAGAGTGGCTACGTTGCCGAGGTAACGGAAGGCATGGACAGGAGAAACAGCTGATCGAGACTCCCGTGGGATGATGCCCGCCAGCCCGCCACCATCGCCACCGAGATGCAGCCCCGGTGCAGTCCCGTCACACGGACAGGAAAAAGTCCCGTGTGACAGCGGTGGAGCCCTCTCCCTCCGAAACCGCGGACGTGCCCGGGAGGATTTTGACAGGCCTGTAGGCCGCTATATTTACCGGCGCGCGCCGGCAAAGCCAGCGCCGTGCCGCCGACACGAGACCCTGGACGGACCCGGCAACTCCGCAAGATATGAAAAGGACCAATGCCTTGCCATGCCGGAACTGCCGACCAATGCCAGAGTGCGTAGCCCTCTCAGCTGAGCAGCCCCAGCCAATCACCGAAGCCCTGGAGGCCCACGAGGGCCAGAGCGACCGGAAATTTCACCACTTCGAGCCAGGGAATTGAGAGTGATAGAGTGAACCTTTTGCGGATTGCGAAATTGCGAGTGAGAGTGGGATAATTGCGAATTTGGATTATATCGAGTGTTGCGGAATCGTTGCGTGAGTATTGAGTTATTGAGTTTTCCCTATCTCCCACCTTTTACGCCTACCCCCTTTTGCTTTTGCGTTTTAATAGATCGTGGATTTCCCCTTTTGGATTTGGCGAGCCGTTCCCACGTGGACCGGCCTTTTTGCGTAGCTTATCTTTTTGAGTTTTAGTCTGGCCTTCCGCCAACCGCGTGCGGCCAGTGGTATATTGCGTGCGTTCTAACTTAGTATCTTGCACCCCTTTTGGAAAACCCCATGCCCTTTCCCTTCCCCGCCATTTTTGAATATTGTGAAACCCGAGGTATTTGTAAGTAGCCATTTTCGCGTTCGGGAACCTTCCTCCCTGAGACCCCCTCACATCCTCCCCTGCTAGCCGTGCCATGTCGCGTTAGAGTAAATATTCGAGGAACTTCTGAGGTCACTCAACGGCGCTACGCCGAATAAGTAGCTGGCGTCCATTTGTTGTTTTCGAGATATCTAGTGCCGGTATGCCCTCCTGTCCCTCCTGGCCCCTTGCCAATACCCTGCTCCCCCGTTCCCTGATTCCCCTCGCCCACTAGTCCGTTTAAACGTCCGGTGTGACACCGCGTGCTCCTGCGTGAGCCGCGTGTTGTTAGCGTGTTCGGAGCGGTTTAGTTTTCTATGGTATTAAGTTCTGATTTCTTTGCGGTTCTATTCTTTTCTTGGTATTGACATTTGTAGTATTAATTATATTCTCCTCTACTTTACACCGTGTTTCACTTTCTTTTGAGTTCCCCCTTTCCCGTGGTATTAGCGATAGCTGTTCTTGCGAGACCCTGGGCCATTTCCGTGGCCCAGTACGTCACAGTACATACAATTGAATTTTGTTACTTACAGGAATAAAAAATAAAAAATGTATAATCTAAAAAAACAAGCCACGTTATATACAGCTATGAAGCGCTGTAACAAACATCGTTGCATCATATTTTTGTTGTGTACAAAGTTTTGGCTTACTTCATTAAATTTTACGGAAGCTGATGCAATAACGATAATTTTTTGAAAATTTGAAAACCACGTAAAATCTGAACCGCTTTAGCTATCTTGTCGAAATTCAATATCAAAAAACATTGAACGTATCTTCAGTTTCGAAGAACTATTTAGCTGAATCGTCGAACCTTTACGAAAGTTAGAGCAACCACGCCCTTTTTTCAAAAAATTCAAAATTATATAAAATCTGAATGACTGCATATATTTCATTAAAAGTCGCAACATATAAAGAGGAATAACTACTTTACTTGCGTGCCAAATTTCAGTCCGATCGCTCTAACGGTTATTGAGTAAGAGGCGATTGAATTTTCGAAGCCCTGCACACACACATACATACACACACGCGCGCGAGCATTTTTTCTAAACCACTTTTCTTGACGTTTTAGACCATGTTAAGTATTCTAACATGAAAATCTCGAAAAAAAATTTTACATGAATACATAGTTTCCTCTATGAGAAAGCAAAACGAGTCGAATCTTCGACAATTGGGCGACAGTCAGAACATACATGGGATACGCCTAGTGATAGCAAAACCAAAGGAATAATTGCAACCATCCACGTCGGTAACCCAACCCGAGTCCCAACAATAAAACTATACTCTCCCGAAATAATTAGTAATCCGGTTATGATGATAAGCTCAGGAGCCGAACTTAATATAATTAAGAAAAGTTGCATTAATCCTGAAACACCAGTGATAGATACAAAAACATACTATCTCAAATAAATTACACCGAATTACGTAGAAACCCAGGAACAAGTACTACTTCACATAGAAGAAGTGAACACTATATTTCATATAGTATCAGACGATTTTCCTATTATACAAGACGTAATTATCGAAGAACCGTTTTTTAATGGAAATGAAGCTGTAATTAATTTCAAAGAGCGATATTTGGAATTTAATGACTACACTATTCCCTTCGAAACAGCAAGTTCAATTACACTTCCAGCAAGAACTAAAATTCAAATTTCTGTCAATATCATAAATACTGAAGTAATCGCAGGGTATATGCTTCGTCTAGATGTGGGTAATAACGTATACTTAGGTGAAGCTTTAGTAACCAATCGTGAAGGCATCGAACATATTCTTGCTATCAATGTATCGCAAGAAGAGGTTATTATAGAAAAACCTTGGGTTAAGTTACAAGAATATTGGGATAAACCTTCCTATGCTGATGTTGCTAAAATCACTGATAAATTTGCTACATTCATTGAAACAAATAACTCTTACCAGCTCCATAGTATCAATGATATTACTATTTTACAAGAAAACAGAAATTCTAACTCCTTGAACTCTTACGACTCGATAACTTAAATCAAGAGGAAAAGGATTCGGTAATAGAGTAAATCAAAAAGCATGGTAGAAACTTTCATTTACCAGGTGAACCCTTAGAACCTTATGAACCCTTATCAACACTAGACAGTACCGTTATCCGCCTATACACAAGGAGGAGATTAGGAAACAAGTCACTGAACTATTGGATAACGAGATTATCAAACCGTCTGAGTCAGCCTATAATTCACCACTTTGGATAGTGCCTAAAAAACCAGATCATCAAGGAAACAAAAGATGGAGAATGGTTATAGATTATAGGAGACTTAGCGAAAAAACAACAGGTGACGCATATCCACTTCCAAATATTACGGAGATATTAGATCAATAAGGAGCCGCTAAACACTTTTCAGTATTCGATTTAGCTTCGTGATTTCATCAAATGGAAATGGCATCCGAGGATTGCCATAAAATAGCATTTACAACACCACATGGACATTACGAATATAATTAAATGCCTTTTGGATTAAAGAATGCACCTGCAACATTTTAAAGACTTATGGACAGAGTACTTACGGGACTTCAGGGAAATTAACTCTTTGTATATCTGGACGATATAGTAATTTATGCTAAATCCTTAGAGGAACATCAAATCAAATTCGAAGCATCGATGTCTAGACTTAACAATGCTAATTTCAAACTTCAGCCAGGTAAATGTGAATTTTTACGCAAAGAAGTTGCTTATCATATCTAGGGCATATTATTGGCGAAAACGAAGCAAACTAGATCCAAAGAAGATAGAAGCAGTATGGAAATTTCTAGTTACACGAAATCAAAAAAAATATTAAACAATTTCTGGGCTTAGCAGGTTACTACCAAAGATTTATTAAAGATTTTTCAAAAACTGCGAGTCTATTGACGAGTCTTTTAAAGAAAAATGTTCCGTTTTTATGGAGAGAAGAGCAACAAAAAGCTTTTAATACTTCAAGGGAAAAACTTTGCAAAAATCCAATTCTTCAGTTTCCAGATTTTAGTAAACCATTCGTTCTAATAACAGACACCTCTAACTATGCGATAGGTGCTGTACGCAGTTAAGGCCCAAACGGGAGCGATTTACCAGTTGCATATAAAAATTGCAAAAAAAAATTAATCAGTGATCGAAAAGGAGATGTTAGCCATCATATACGCCGTCAAACACTTTCGACCTTATCTATATGAACGAAAGTTTACATTAGTAACTGATCACAGGCCGCTTACGTGTCTTCACAAATCCGCTGACTCTACATCCCGCATAATCGAATGAAAGTTAAAACTATCCGAATACGATTATGAGATGCATTACAAAAACGGGAAAATTAATCTCAATACAGATGCATTATCGAGAAACCCGGTCGAATTAGAACAGGCTCAACTTCTACCTTTAGAGGCAGAAGATGCCAATGAAGAGTACGAATCCAATTCAAGGTCATCAATACAATCTCATAGAGACATTTCAATTCCTATTAATCACGGAGAATCTGACGAGGACGCAAACATAGGTGTAACGACCGTGCTCGTCCATCAACCATTAGAGGGGAATGAGGACGATACAAGAAATTCTAATCAGGAATGCACTGAAGAAATAATAGAAGGAAATCTTACTATGATTCGATTGCATATTTCGTAGACAAGTCAGGAAAACCTATAGGGAATGGAGGTGACCCTTTAGCCGAAGATGGTAGACTGCTTAAGGGACCACTTAAAGCAGGAGAAATTTATGAGCATCAAACAAGAGGAAATCTTCACTTTATTATGATGCTCTCTCACATTCATGCTACGTCAGAAGAAATTCAAGAATTATTTGAGAATTTAATGCATCGAATCAAATCTCATAAGATTAATACAATTAATGTAGTGTATATTTTTATAAGCTGTCATATTCCATGAATGCATTTTCACTTATGACAACGTACTACGCTTTCTTCCACAGTAAAGCAACCTATGGAGTAGTTGCCTGGGGAGGAGCGTACGATAATGCTTTATCAGGTTTACAAAGAGCACAAAATAGACTAATGAAAAAAGTTCGTATTAAAGATAATAAAATAAGGCTGCCTTTATCTATAAAACAAAGTTTTCTATTAGAATCAATTCTTCATAACTACAATGATCTATCAATCAAATTTAAAGAATCTACCAAAATCACTAGAAATAAAATCACTCTACCTATCATAAATAAAACTTTAGCTTTGAATAGTTCCAGAATTATAGCAATTAAACTGTTTAATAGCTTAGATACAAATTTAAAAGAAGCGAGTAAAAACAAAGACTTTATTAAGAGGCAATTAAAAATATTGATAAGCAAAAATACGCAAAAATTGTTAAACCTCCATTTAATAGCATTAAATGACTTAATCAAATAGGAGGATTTTTGTATAAAGCTTATTTGTAAGTGTTATTTCTAGTTTTAAGTTTTTAATTTTAATTTTTAGTTCTATAAGTTAAACTAGGTCTGCGCACAGGTTTTTGTAAAAAACCTCTTGCAGATTTTTATGTAATGAAATCCCATTTCATAAAATGTATCCCAATACACCTAGTTCAATAAATATTATTATTATTATGTCTCTAGGGAACATAAAAATAGACTATTGAAATGGGACAAAATCAAGGAAATATTTCAATCTTTAGTAGGTAATCAACCTTTAAAGTTTATTATTTGCACTAACCAAGTCAAAATGTTACAACTAAATCAAAGAATGAACGTTATCGCAGAATATCATTCATCGACAGCAGGAGGACACAAAAGAATTACTTAAACTTACAAACGCATACGTCAAGACTATTGTTGACGCCCACATGTGGAAGGGAGGAAGGGACACGGCAACCAAGAAGGGGAAGGCCAAAGAGGGGACAGTTTTAAGATAGGAGTAAGTTGGGGCAGTTTCGTTTTGTACATTAAGCAGTGTTCACTGGCAGTAATATGTAAGTTCTTTTCAAATATATAACTCATTCTTGTATCATAGTGTTTTGAATTCGTGCCTTCCTATATTACTGGACATTCATTCGTTCTATTGACACATAGTGTTCATGATTAATAATTCGAAACCTAACGTCACATTGATCGGTAATGACAGCGGAAGCCTTCAAGTTCTCAGATTCTTTGCATTTCGTTACCGAGCAACCGCGTTTGTTATTTCGTCGGGAATTCAATGCACCTGGCAGTTGTACTAGTTGGGTCAATTGTGCTCGTGGAATCGGCTCGGCAGTTGGCCAACCGAAACGTTGCTTGGGTCGTCGGAGCAACTGTGTGTGTTATCCTAATGGGGATTCAACTCACCGGGCATTCGCACTCGTGGAGTCGAATGTGTTTCGGCGACTGATTGCGGAACTGCACGGTTCTATGAGCGACCTCGAGTGTTGTTCCTATGGTGGTCCAACATTTCGGGCAGTCACGCGCGATCGGAGAACTGTGCTCTTGGAACTGTGAATGTTATTGGGGTCGCAATGCGTGCATGCATCCGTCCAAGAGATCGCGTGTGTGATAGAATTGAGAACGCTGTGTCAATAACTCTATGGAACATGGGAGGATGATGCCAATTTATGATAACACGATGGCAATGGTCATGGGTTATAAGCATAGTGTTTTATAACAATAAACTGGTCCGAATGCACCTGTTGCTCTCCCAATTGTAACAATTTGCAGACACAACAGAAGCAAAATCACAAATACGACAACTATTTTTGGAAGAATATGAAGCAAGATGTTAGGAGATACATACTAGCATGCAATAGTTGTCAGAAGAAGAAACTAGTGCGTAATAAGACACGTCAGCCGATGATAATCACTGACACACCACTCAATACATTCGATAAGGTTACTCTAGATCTCGTAGGACCTTCACCATTCACTGCTTCCGGAAATTGCTATATTCTAACTATTCAAGATGATCTCTCAAAATATTCAATCCCTGTGCCGATAGGTGAAATGGATTCTAGTACAATGACTGAGGCGTTTACTAAAAATTTTATTTGCCAATTTGGTACCCCTCAAACAATTGTAACGGGTTCAGGATCGCTGCTTCATCAGTTCTTTCATGATAGAATTTGCTAAACGATTTCAAATCAAATAACTGCAAACCACTGCTTTCCGAGCACAATCCACACAATTCAGATTATCTGAAACATTATAAAACAGGCAAAGTCGACTAGGATCAGTGGTTAGAGATGGCGATGTTTTCATATAACATTAGTTATCACGAAAGTACAGGATATACTCCGCACGAATTAATATACGGTAGAACAGCACGTATGCCGTCAAGTTTCGTGTGCGAATCAACCGAAAGAACCTATGATAATTACCTAGAAGACCTAATGGATGATTTAGACAACATTAGGCGACGCGCTTGAGAAAACTTACAAAACGCTAAACAACGATCCAAGAAATACTATGTTCTGTTCGCTCGTAACAAGATCCTGGCTCGAAGTGGCGGGATTTCCGGTCGTCCTGGCCCTCGTGGACCTCCAGGGCCTCGTTGATTAGTTGGGGCTGATCAGCTGAGATGGCTACGCGCTCTAGCATTGGTCGGCAGTTCCGATATGGCAGAGCATTGGTCCTTTTCATATTTTGCTGGGCTGCCGGGCCTTCCAGGGCTTCGTGGTGGCGGCACAGCGCTGACTTTGCCGGCGCGCGGGCTGGCTGCGCGCGCCGGTCAACATGGCGGCCTCCAGACCTGTCAACATTCCTCCCGGGCACATCCGCGGTGTCAGAGGGAGAGGGCTCCGCCGCTGTCACATGGGCCTCTGTATTACCCGTGTGACGCGATTGCCCCGGGGCTGCATACACGTGGCGGTCGTGGTAGGCTGTGCGAACGTCGTTTCCTTGTGGCCAGATCAGCTGGTCCTCCTGTCCATGCAATCCCTGCCTTCCGTTGCCTCTGCAACGTAGTCACTCTCGCGTTCCTTCCCGTGGTAATCGTCGCCCTCGTCGTGGGTCGACGGTAGTAGTTATAAGCCACTTCTGGCCGTCACAACAAACCCCC